AGGCACTTTGTGCTCATGTAAATGTTTAAATAAGGAAGTTTTACGGGTAGGGGGACGTCTGAGAAGAAAATGGGAGGTCACAATGCCGGCAGCTGGAAGAGCCAAACACACTTACCATTCCTGGTGGATAAACTTGATACTGCCAGTGCAGACACAAGGGTGGTACAGGGGTTTATCTGGGGTCCCCTCAGAGCGGCACACACGACAAATATCCGCTGCACACACAAACACAAACACAAGTGATATATAACATGATACCCATCACCAAAGGCAGAGTAAACCAGAGATGAGCAGACACAGAGAGTAGGAGGACTGTGTTGTTTTAACAGACAGGTGTCTTCTGAATAATGGACTCTAATCCAGATGTGACTGTAATTTGAGATACTTGCATAAGGAAGAGGTACACATTTAAGTGAGTTACACGAGAAGACCTGTCCTTATCTATAAGGCCATACATCAGGAGACTGATGACATCACCAGCAGCCTCTAGTCTCTAGCACTAGCTACTACTCTACATGGCCGCTTCACAGTTAAACTCTCATATTGAGCTCGGCTGCATTATAACAACGTTTAGCTGTCATCCCCCATCTCCCTGTATTAACCCCACACTACACTGACAGGCTACGAAGCTATGCTGTTGAGCTAAGTGAACCACTAGCAGGCCAGCTCAACAGCAGGCTTGGTTATCTGTGATGCACCTAACGAAGCTAACGCTGGTAAACCCGGACCGGGGCAGCGACCACCGACGCCTTTGCTTATTTACCTTCCTCGGCAGTATCCATGTTGCTCGCTAAGCACCGGTCACCGTTTCTTCCAGGAGTACCTTGTTCAACGAACCCATCCACGACACAGACGATATCGTTGAGCTACGTTAACCTAGCCAGACGAGTGTATCCCTGCGTGTCGGATGCATTGACAATCATAAAATGGTTTCCCCACAGACTTCTTGAACAGCAGCCCTCGCGTCGCTGTGTCCTCTCACGTCCAGTCTGTGCTCGTCGTTGAACCGGGTTTTTGTCGTGACGGTGTGTTCTCTGATGTGACACAATGAACTTGGACAACGTTACATCCTCCGTGTTGCCGAAATGACAGCTTGAACCGGGGAGACAATCGGCTAGCTGAGCTGGCTAACGCATGCGCTAACGTCACTGCTAGCTCCTGTCACAACAGTTTTGCTTTACCGCAGCGGAGCGGGTTTTACGGCAGGGGGAGCTTCCATAACAACCGTCACGTGATTAGCGAGAGAAAAGCTATAAAATCAACGCCGTGTATTTTATATATTGTAATTATGTCACATAATACGTATTAAAATGTATTTCTGTATGTACATTGGAGAAAAGGTTCTTAATTTCTTCGCTTTTACTTATTGTGTAAAGTGGGTATTAAATATCCCTCCATGTTAAACAGCGACATCTGCAGGTTACTACTCGAACCCACAACTTTTATGTAACAATTGACTTGCAGCTCGGTTCTAAACCAGAGAAAAGTTTGAGGTTTAAATACTGAGGCCCATTTTGTGAGAAGTTTCTTTCTTGATGTGGGTATTTTATTATGAAAAACAATGATTTTTAAAATGTAATTTTTTTACATTTGGAACTCGCTTTAATTACTCTCCAGTTTATTGTATTTTACATTAAAACTGCTCTGTCTATCTGGAATTCATGTGTCTACCCTTTCAGCACACTTTTCCTTCTCTTTGACAGTTCAATTATAATGATTGATTTCATTTTAGTTCCAATGAATCACTTTTTCTATGTTTTACCATTACTGTACCATTACCATGAGCCCTTAACCCTAACCCATCTTTTAACCCTACCATAACCCATTACAATTTTTGGTAAAAGAAAGCATAGACAATATTAATCCATTAGTGTCCCTGTATGAACTCTTAACACCAGAGCTTGTGGTGATATGAGAATACTGTATCGTAGAGATAATGAGCCTTGATCGGGAAACGAAAGTAGGCAAGTTAATGATAGCTTTTATTAAACTTTTACAACTCAATAAACAACACGGGGCCTGGAAGGAAATTCTTGTCTGCTATATGTGCCGTCGGTCAGCGGCGCCGTGGCTTAGTTGGTTAAAGTGCCTGTCTAGTAAACAGGAGATCCTGGGTTCGAATCCCAGCGGTGCCTTTTGAGAGGCACGTCTGAGGGAGAACAGCGTTACAAGGTACTAACTTGGAGGCTGTTTTCTGTCGTTGTTTGGCCCTCTAAACCTTGTCTAAAGTCTTCTTTCGAGCCAGCAAGAAACAGTGGAAGGTGCCGGATGTATGGTGGTTATTCTTGACTGCAAGAATTCTCACACAGAGGGGGGAAGACAAAGTGAAATCCGCTTCGTAAGGGCATTTAAAATGCATTTAAGCTGCGGTGTTTAAGACAAAGAAAAGAACATAAGCTGCACAATATCGAAATGTCTTAATTATGAGCAGTGGGCATTTATTTGGCCAGAAATGTAGGCCCCAAACATTAAACTAGGGTGAAATTATCATGTGAATTGAACTATGTTTTCTGGGTTGCTGTAAAAGGATCCAGTCAGCAACTGGTCAACCTTTGTGCAGAGAAGCTCTTCATGGCACTCAACCGGTTGTATTGTATGTTTAATCTGTTAGAGTCATTTTAAATGTGTAAATGGTTTATGGCTGGATTGACAGAAAGAAGGAGACCACAAAGATATAAGAAACTATTGTTAATGGGCTAACTATTATTGTCAGCAATGACATTTTAATTTAATGTAGAGTCCACCCTTGCTTTGCTACTCAGAGAGTTCGTTAGAAACTTGCAGCTTTTACTTTGAAGGTCATGGCAGGAATTGTATTCTTTGCCATTGATCTCACCAGCTTCACTATCACGACCTGGTTGCAAGTTTTGGAGCCCTGCACAAGACTTCAGATTATTTCCTCTCATCGAAAAATCGAGAAGCGACACGGTATGTCTCTGTTTCTATTAACTGATTTTCAGATGATTATGTTTGCGGCTAAGAGGAAAATACTGTAAAAAAGAAAAGAAAAAAGTCAATTCTTTTTTCAAATTGCTTTGTCACTGTTGCGCAAACGCTTCCACAATCATGACTGCCATGTCAAAGCACACGACAGAGAAGTGACATTTTTAATTCACCCTGATATCCCCCTCTCTTCAGCTGATTTCCTAACTGTCTGTCAGCAGATGGCAAATGAAGCCAAGCCATGCCCCTGTGATATTGGTGATCGGATGGACTATGGGGGGCTGGGCGAGGAGGTCCAGATTGAGCACACCAAGGCTTATGTAGTGAAACCATCCTCTGAATCTGACAAGGCCATTATTGTCATACAAGACATCTATGGGTGGGAGCTTCCCAACACCAGATACATGGCTGATATGCTGGCTGCAAACGGATACATGTGAGTAAACATCACTGTACTGTCCATAGCAGAAACAGTGAGTGATAGTCAGGTCGGCCAATAACAGTTATTCCTTCTGCCTTTGTTCTGCTCCGAGCAGTGCTGTCTGTCCAGACTTTTATGTTGGCAAGGAGCCCTGGAGTCCATCACATGACTGGTCCACATTTCAGGAGTGGCTTGAAGACAGAAAGCCGACCAACATAAACAAGTATCTAAAAGCTCATTTTCAGCTTTTCAGCATGCATAAGACATTCTGTTCATGGTATTTCCTTCCCAAGAGAGGTTGATGCAGTGCTGAGCTACCTGAAGGAGCAGTGTGGGGCCAAACACATTGGAGCAGTGGGCTTCTGCTGGGGAGGGGTTGCCACACATTACCTTGCCCTGCAATATCCAGAGGTCAAAGCTGGAGTGTCAGTCTATGGTATGTCATAGATATCTGTCAGCAATCTTTGTTTATAAAATACGTTGTTTGGTGCAAAAAGATACATCACAAATGTGCAGAACTGTCTTGGTGGCAGTGGTACAAAGCTCTTGCACAGATACAGTAGTAAAGGACTACTCACATCTAAAAATGGACAAACATCATTTAGATTTGTAGTTCAGGCAGCAAGGCGTGCAGTATTAGTGGCTGTGCAGTGGTTTTATGATGGGCCCATGTGATACTGTGCAGGAATCGTCCGTGAAAGAGAGGACAGGTATGAGCTGAAGAGTCCGACTCTGTTCATCTTCGGGGAGAAAGATGAGGTCATCCCTCTGGACCAGGTTAGTATGCAAGAACTTACTGGTACATAAGCACCAAATGGTACCCTTGCAGCAACGTCATAAGACCTCTGGTATGTTGAAATACACCAGCAATCAATCATTTTTGTCAGTATGAAAGTAGAAATGGCACAAGGAACCTCTATGGTGCAGCTCTTCACTTTAAAACATCACGTAACCATTGGTAACCTGTGTTTACATAATTTTCCTCCCCAGGTAAGCGTCCTTGAAGCAAAGCTGAAGGAGAAATGCACAGTCGATTACCAAGTGAAGATCTTTCCTGGCCAGACTCACGGGTTTGTCCACCGCAAGAGAGAGGACATCAACCCCACGGACAAACCTAGCATCCAGGAGGCCAGGACAGACATGCTCAACTGGCTCAACAAGTACATGTAAATACAAAAGGTCAGACAGAGTAACGCAGGGAGTACGAGTTTGTACACATACCATACAAACTCTCACAGACAGGATGAAAACCCGAAAATGTAAATGTAGAGGTGGTAGTTACAGCAGGCTGAGAATAGTGATGGTTAGCCATAATTTATTTAATTGGTGACATTGCAGTTGTTTCTTGTACATTTCATTTTGAGGGTCTGTATGTTCACATATGTATATTAAGGAACGGAATTGTTTTGCACTTTTGTCTTGTGCCAAAAACAAATATGGTTGCGTTAATGTAAGAAAGCCAGCAGTAAATAAAAACTGTGAATGACACTTTTTATTCATCAGCTTGCCAACTAATGTAAACTGTCTAGTTTTTAGAAGACATGTAAAGTACAACCAAAGTGGAATACACAAATAAAGATGTTACGTATTATCATCAGGTTCAATATTTGGTGCTTGAAATCAGAACTACAAAGTCTGTAATTTTCAACGGACCAACATTTTAATGGTGACTTTGATAGCGACAACAGCTTGAACATTTTGTATCAAATGATAAATAGCAATATGCAGTGCGGTTTTGACATGGTGCTCGGGGAAGTGCCTAAAACCTCTAGAAGAGCTAAGCCCAGCTCCTGTTTCAGGAGGTTTTCAGTCCTCGCTTTCTCCTTGGCTTCGGATGTCGTCAATCTTCAGGATCATTTTGACCACCTGAGTAGCCAGGGAGATCTGCTGCTTCTTGCCAATCAGGGTCTCGACCACATGTTGCTGCTTCATGTCTGTGTAGGAGCAAAAAAAAGAAGCCATTTGATATCATGCCTTGCATTGACTTTAAAAGGCCAGTGTTGGGATTATCTGACAGCTGGTTCCTCACCATTGGTGTTTTTGTGCAGGCAGTCGATGCCGAGGAAGGGGTTGGACTCTTTGACCTGTCTGGCTCTGACCTCTGCCATGGTCTGGATAGGATTCAGCCCACTGTTCTCAGCCAGTGCCATTGGGATTACTTCCAGAGCATCAGCAAATGCCCTCATGGCATACTGCTCCAATGATGGGCACTAGAAAGGAAGGGGGCAGAAAAAGTCAGAAACACATGTATTCTAATTCTAAAAGGAGTACCATACTTAATTCTTTTGCTCGGTTCAGTATCTGTGGGTTTTAGTGGTTCTCACCTTATCTGCAGCCAGGTTGACAGCCAGAGCACATGCAATCTCTGAAGCTCCTCCTCCATACACCACACGGTTATCTTTCACTAGATTGCGAATTACACACAGAGCGTCATGGAGAGCGCGTTTTGCCTCTTCAATGATCTAATGAGATAGATGAAATAAAAAGGTGAACCAAGAGTGACAGACACTGAAAATGGATACCTTGACATACAGTAAAAGTCACATTTGCGCTTACCATTTTGTTGCCTCCACGGATGAAAATGGTTACGGCCCTAGTATTCTTGCACTCCTGGATAACCAGCATGTGATCCTTTGTAGTGCCAAAGCAGATCTCCTTCACTACACCAGCTGTGCCAAGCTTCTCTGGTGTCAACTCACAGAACCGTGGCACGATGCGGCCTCCTGTGGCTATGGCAATCAACTGCAGAGAAAACACATTTGACATCGGGTGCTTAACAAAACTACTTAATACTTTTTGTTCATCAACACTGTGTGATCCTAAAGATGAATGAATAAATGATTGATTGAAGTGATAAAGGCAGAGAAAATATTTTGTTGAAGAAGAACTTTACATAAAGGAATTCTTTCAAGCATCTCTCACCTCAATCTCAGGCCCTCCGACCCAGCGCACAGCCGGCAGCTCATTCTGCAGCAAAAGGTGGTTGGCTTCATCATCAAAGCCCCACTGGCAGATGGCCAAGTTAGCGCCATTGCTTTTGACCTAAAAGAGAAAGAGAAATTAAGATTAGCCACATGCGCCAACGTAGATGTGAAGAAATCAGTTTCTAGTACCTTCAACGCTGCAGTACTAACCTGTTGGATCATCTCCTCAAACTTCTCCTTTTCATATTTCTGAAGGGCTTTGTAGTCCTCCACAGAGGTCACATCCAACTTATGCTTGGTCTTGGGCTTAGGGGGCTCAAATGGGCAGGTAAGGATAGCAATTTTAACATCTTTCAGAATCTGAGAGGGGGACACAAACAAACAGGTGTTAGCATCATTATATTACAGTGATCACACATAATGAAAATGCAATATAACCTTTAGTGTTTGTCTGTGCAGCTATTAAGTAAATAACAGTGTCCTTATGAGCTGTAACTCAAATTACAGTTTTTTTTACTGTTCGAACATTTTCCTCCTTCTCTATGCAATAAATATATAGTATTAGATTCACATTGAACTGCTTGTTATCTTCCAATATATAACAATTTAATATATAGATGGATGTCAGACATCAGTTTAATCAAAAATGAAATTAGAGAGATCAGATGACATCATCTGTTTGTACCTTGGGCATCTGAGGGTGGCTGAACTCCTTGTCAACTATGACTCCCTTGATGAGCTGTGTGTCCTCCAGCTTGCCTCCCACTTTGCCCTCCATCTTGATGAGCTCAAAGTCTACATCCTTCCTCTCCATGTCGGCCACAGTGAGGATGGCATTCACTGCAATTTCAGCCATCTGTCTGTGGCACCGGTTGATACTGGAAGACAACAGCTTAACTTTAAGATACGATACTTTAGCTGATGTCACACAATAAAAGCATTACTATACATAAACTATCTCTTGCCAAATCTAATCTTAAGAGAGAGAAAATCCTATTTCTGTAAATTGTACTGTAGCAATATAGTAACAAACTCTGGACTCACATTTTAGATCCCAGTGTTGTCATGGCGGTCTCAATGAGCGGTTCTGTGTTGTTGGGATCGCAGGGTAAGGTTTCTGCGATTTTGTCCAGCTGGTCGATGGCAAAACGTGCGGCCTGGTCATAACCGTCGGAGATCCTGATGGGATGGATTCCACGGTCCAGCAGCTGCTCAGCATGCTCAAGCAGAGCCCCAGCCAGCACTGAGGAGGGAGGAGAAAATACAGCGAGACAACAATATCAATAATAGCTGCAATATGGTTGAAATGTGTCAGGTTCTCAGAGCTGCAACAATTTTACGGGTACATTAAAATTTGATGTAGCATATTCCCAAAACACACAGTTTTGTTTTGATATGACTGCAGGGTGCTTAAAATTGTCAGTGTATTTATGAGATTACATCCTCAATGCATCGAGAAAGTGAGATGGTGTGCACAGAAACTCATGAATACTGGGTTTTATTATATTGTAGCACACCACTGTTAATAACTAAAGATGAAGTACCTGAATAAAATGTATTCACACAAGTTTCTGTTGCTTCACAATGAATGATTTTCTTCTTTATAGTAACACTGAATGTTTACTTTATCTAGTGGAGACATTTCCAGTGTGAGCCTTGGCATGTTTATCACTGTCTCAAAATGAGTAAAAAAAAAAAAAAGAGTATTGTTTTCTTTTCAGAAACCTAGGGTTGCATTATGATGTATAAACAAGTGAAACCCTGCATTAGGACCATCAGATCACCTGTCAGAAAGGTATAAATCCTGACCACATATTAGATAAGCCTTTATCATTCAAGGGTATTATATCAACCACTTATAGTGCGCTGACGGCACTTTCACCCTCAATAAAATCTCAATGGGAAGGTGAACTTGGGGAACCCATTTGTGAGGATCTTGGGAGACTGTAAGTCATTTACTACATGCAATGTAAATATTTCAGATATGTTCAAGATGTAACTCCAGATTGAACTGAAATAAAAAAAAAGAAAAGGTATAAATCCAGGTTTACAACCAATAAAAGCACCATAGGCCCCTCGTCGTCTTTTCCCTTACCAACAACTCCTGTGGTTCCATCACCAATCTCATCATCCTGGGACTTGGAGAGCTCCACCATAAGCTTGGCAATCTGGTGGTCCACATCCATCATGCTGAGAATAGTGGCTCCATCATTGGTGACAGTGACCTCTCCGTCCCTGTCAACCATCATCTTGTCAAGACCTGGATGCGAAAATGGGAAAAAAATGGTTCAGGGGGAGTGACATGCGTGATCTTAGCTAAAAGATTAAAATAACTGTTAAGCGTGGGAAGGATATGGCATTTAGAAAGCAGTAGTCAAATATATTTCATTTAACTGAAGTTACACAGAAGCTCAGCATCTATGCACTCATCTAGTCTCCTAAAATGCTAACGGGTTTTGACAGGAAGTCAGATGTGACTGTACTGCATTGGTTCATACTCACCATTAGGTCCCAAAGAGGTTTTAAGCGTTGACGCCACTGCCTTAGCTGCCATAATATGAGACTGCAAAACACAAACATTTCCACATCAGCTCACATTTTAAGTACGTTTTTTTTTTTTTTTTTTAACCGAAGACAAAGAATAGTGAAATGGCCTTTTGCGACAAAGAGTTGAAACCTAAATATGTAAATGTTGTGCATCCATAATGTCCATTTTGGGCACAGCCTTGTGTAGCAACACCCAGAAAGCACATGGGCCTCAATGTTAGCATGACTGTTAATTTGGATAATGCTATCGTCTTGCTACTGTAACAACAGGTTAGCTGGTCGGCTGAGAGTATGATTAAACATCTTAACATTATACAGACAAAGCATACTGTATACACTCGACTTATCTAACGTCATGCAAGTAATAGGAAATGAATAACTTGCTAACCAACGTGCCATGCTAGCTAGCCCATTGTACCTTCAATGCGTCAATGCCGGACAACCGTGTCTTCCTATCCTGGTCTTTAATGATGAGGAACGGCCTCCCATACTCGTCGAACGCTAGTGTCCCCATAGCGGACATGTTGACCGATGAATTAGGACACTTCGCAGGAGTTCAACTTGTAAAATAATGAGTTTTTACGATGGAAACCTGGAGTGTGGCTGAACTGCAAGCCGCACGGGTTTGCAGGCGACTTCTGGAAGGCTCCACGGGCGGGGAGGGCGGAACCAAGTACCGTTAACTGTGTCTTAATACACATTTAAACACCCCGTGATCCGGAATGACACAACACACAATGAACAGAACTGCTGTGAAATTACTCAGAAAATTATTACAATCTTTTCCTACGCCATATTTTAAGAGTAGATGTAAAACGATCTTTTGGTAATTTGGTATCTTCCGATCCCGTTCAATGTCAGTCAGGGCCCTGATCTCGCGAGAATCCCAGTGTTGATAAAATTCCATGGGAAGGACCGGACTGTATGTATTTCCACAGCTGTTTGGAAAAGGTATAATAAAACATATCTTCAGGTAACGCCACATAGTCTTTATATCTGCTTCTAATAATATTTAAGATTTAGTTTCTAAGAGGCTGACTTTAGCTCGAAAAGACACCATCCAGATGTCGGTAACTAACCGAACTTGTCTCTCGTGTGTCAAGAGGTGATTATTATTAGTTGTCAGTCATTAGTAGCTGACATGTTGCTAAAAACATTCAACTCCGCTAGCTTTATGGCGTGGTTGCTTTTGTTAATAGCGTTAGATATAAAAAGATAAATGACACGCTGGACTCCACATGGACTTTGGTAATGACGCAACGTCCGGGTATTTTCTGGTGCTCAGGGTTGTCAGGGCTGTTCTGTGGCAGTCTGTCTGTCTGTCTGTCACTTGTCAACATGTGCTGCAGTATGTAGGTAAGCTGAGGTATCCATGAAAACACAGGGCGGCAGCTGGAATGCTTTGAGTTTTCCATAAGCTCACTAGCAGTTGCTTTGACTGTATTGTTTTTAATCTAGAAACGATGTTGTGTTTCCGCTCCAGCATGCCCTGTGAAGTAAAGCCTCGGTTCGTGCTGCTGTACGGGTCTCAGAAGGGCCAGGCGCAGTCCATAGCAGAGGGGGTAGCTGAGGGGGCAGAGGAGCACGGACTGGTTGCTGAGCTCAGCTGCTTGAGCCAGGATGAGAAGGTAGCTGTTGCACATTATATCCCTTTTTTTCCCCCACGAAGCAGATCTTCTAAGGCATGGCTGCAGGCACACAATAACACATCAATAATATCTCAGTAAATGTAATGTTGCCTGATGATTTTTGTGGATATTAATGCAATGTTTCATATGGGTTAGTGGGAGACCGTTCACTGATTAATCATATAACTGGTTCCAGTACAATTTGGAGAAGGAGAATGCCCCAGTGGTCTTTATTGTGTCTACTACTGGAGATGGGGAACCGCCAGACAATGCCCTCCGATTTGTAAGGCGCATCAAGAAGAAGACCCTCTCCACTGACCACTATAAACACCTTTCCTATGCACTTTTAGGTAAATTCTATTATGAAGGCCTGAGGTAGCTTTTTTTTTCCTGCAGTTCATCTTCCAATATGGGGGACATATTTGTGTTAATCATTACAATACAGAGCACTGCACAGTGTTTACTGTTCGGTAGAGTTGCTGGCTTGAGAAAATCTTCATCTGTTTTCCTCTGTATGCTCCAGCTTTAGGAGACACAAATTATGCAAATTTCTGCAACTGTGGGAAGACAATTGAGCGTCGTCTACAGGAACTTGGAGCCAAACAATTCTATGCAACGGGATATGCAGATGATGGTGTAGGGTAAGTTCTGCAGAGAAAGGAAGTATATAAATCCAGCTTTCAGCATTTTGCCTTTAACCTACCGTCTCTTTTCCTCATTTTTTATTACTCTTATGTGTGTATAATCGTGTGGACTTCTCTTCTCTCCAGGCTGGAGGTGGTTGTGGACCCCTGGCTAGACGGACTGTGGAAAGCAATCAAAGGAGCCTTATCAAAAATGGCTTCTGATAGGACTGGTTACTTGAAAGGAGAAGCAGGGGACTCACCACAGGAAACTCCTGATTCATCCATACCAGATGTCCAACTAAACCTCTTAAGCATCACTGAGCGCCAAAACTGCGAGTCGGTCAGAGCATCCGTAGAACCGATCTCTAAATTTGCATCTGCTGCTTCACCTTCAGCTTCTGCTACACAGACTGCTGTTTCTGATCTCAGGCCAGCTCTTCCTGCAGGGAGCCCTGGGTTGGCTTCCCAGTCTCACGGTGATGCCAGTGTTTCTACATCAGCACCAGAGACGAAGACCGAGGATACTGGAGTTCCTCGTGTTGAATTGGCAGCCTCACTGACACGCTCCCTGCCGCCACTGTCAGAGTCCTCACTCAATGTGCCTGCTCTACCTCCTGTGTACCTGGATGTCTCTCTTCAGGAGGTGGATTCTGTGGAACAGGTGAGGAATGATGCTGCAGATAAAAGCAGTATTTGTGCTGTTACTGTATATCCACCCCTTTATGTCATACATTTTTTCTTTCAGATGGATGGACTGTTAAACAAAGACACTCTTTATGAGGTTCCCATATCCAGGGCAGTTCAGCTGACCAGAGGAGATTCAGTAAAGATGGCCCTACTCTTAGAGCTGGACATCTCTGTAAGCTTGACTTTTTGACATTTTTCTAAACCTGCAGTATGAATTTAGATTTAAATTGCAACTTGAGATTTGAACTTTTAATGCTTCTTGTACATTTTTAGGCTTACCCAACAATAACACATCAGCCAGGAGATTCGTTTGATGTGTTCTGCCCAAACAATGGCACTGAGGTGGAGGACATGCTCCGCAGATTGGGCCTTCATGACCAGAGGAACCGCAGAGTACACATTTCTCTACGTAAAGACAATAAGAAAAGAGGTAAAGTGGGGCTTTAACATGCACCCTATGCTTACAATTGTAACGTTGCATTTTTTTTCTTCAAAAGATTCTTATGTTTGTGACATTCATGTCTACCCCATTATAATAGTTCTCAAATGTTTTATCCTTCTTGGTTGTAGGTGCCCAGGTGCCACCCTACATTCCCCAGAACATCTCTCTGCTGTACCTGCTCACATGGTGTCTAGAGATCAGACACGTTCCTAAGAAGGTACTGTATATCCACATACAGCTACCTACTTTATAAGTTCTGTGGCCAGGACACTTTTTGTTATGACATCCATACTTGTTTTAGTGTATCAGCATAATAAGAGGGGAAACAATTTTTTAAGTGTCATTTTTGTTTTTTTTTGCAGCTAGAGTGCACCGCTTTTATTTGTGTTGTCAAAACTGGGAGAAAAGTGTGTTTTATCTCATGAAGAAGTGCAATTATATTTTGACACGGATGTTCCCATTTATTTTACGATGCTTACTGAACAGGCAAATGGGTACTTAAATAGTCTGTCGTGACACATTTGCATGGCTTCACAGTTTGGTTTGATAAGCTCAGGCAAGACTGGATTTATTAATTGTAGGTACTAGGCTGAAATAATGATTAAACTTGCCTGGTCCTCTGTGGCAATGAAGATTAACACATTTGGTGCACAGAAATGTAAAATGGCCACAGTCTTGCGCTTTGGCAGTGCCACGCAGTACCCTGTGCAAGTTTCTCCTCATCATTACATTTGCAGCATACTTATACTAATATTACTAAAGTGACTAATTTGTGTACCTTCCTGTCTATTTTCAAGTTATTTATTCCACCGTATTACACCATCATTCTGATTTTTACCATGCAAGTTAAGTTCATTATTTAAAAGTCCAGTGTGTAACATTTACTAGCATATATTCATATAATATAATATTCATAGGTATATTTTCATTAGTGTGTAATCACCTGAAAATAAGAATCATAGTGTTTTCGTTATCTTAGAACGATCCTTTCTTATCTACAGAGACCAAAATAAATACCATTAATTTCCTTCTGGCATGAGCTGCATCAGTAATTTACAGTTCTTCGTAAACAGCACACTGAATGACAAAAGGGACACATTTAGTAAAATGTCAAAATATGGCAGCAATCCAGTTGCTTATTAATCAATACAACATTTTAAGTATTGCTAGCTGAGCATGCAGCATTGCTCAAGGCGCAGAATTACACAGCACTTGCAACACACCATCCCTAATGGCACACAGCGTAATAACATTTGATATGTTATGCAGTAAGATATTGCTTAGTCAGTATGATGAATTAAGTGACATTAAGGGAAACATTACTCCTGATTATCAGATCAAATTGATAATGTGTCATAAGTATATGTAGTACATCCTGATTGTAACAGTTACCATCAGTTCATTTCCCTGCTGTATATAAGACTTGTGTCTCACTTTCTCCCCTGTGTTATTAAATTCCTGCACACAAATGGACAGTTTCAGGTCAAACTTTTACTACAGACTTACAAGGCAGTGAGAGTTTCATTTTACAACACCTGTCTGTGTAATCCGAGCAGTTAATCTGTTTTACTAAAGCATTTACTACAACACTATAATCTTTATGCTCCATGATTTTTTAGGATAGTGAAAGATAATTACCTCAGCCTTAGTAAGTGCAATTCCCAATAATCTACAGCAGCAGATACAGAAAGATATACTTGGCATGTGCTGGCTTGCCATTTCTGTTGAGATAAATATGAATATTATTACTGAATCCATGCGGAGACTGTGCCAGATGCAGACACTATTTTTTGACACTAGTCAAATAGTTGTGAAATTCTGTCTATACGGGATGGATTGGAAGATGGGGATAATAATTCTTCCAGTGCAAGCTACAAGAATGTGCCACTAATCTCTCCATACATGCCCTCATAAACTATAATGAATCACTGAAATTATACAGAACACTTACCCATTACAAATATTCAGAAGTTGCGATTACTGTATCAGAGTGGTTAATGTTTGCAGAATAAAGTAAAAATCACTCCAAAAGTTCTTCAGGAGTTGTATTTTAATACTTCTACATTAAATCCTTTAATTAACACCACAGCCTACCAGAGGATTAACAATAATTGATGCAATACCAGTTAAACAGCAGCTTCTTCTGTACATTTAACATATGAATTGATTGCATTACTGGATTTTAAAGAATTTTGTTTGAGGATTATAAGAATGCCTATTTGTCTCTGCTCATTTCTCTGTAGTGATAAATACATTTAAATGTCTAAAATGAGAATTTTATGAGGGAAATAAAATGACTATATTCCGTAAGTGGATTGGTGTCACGGTCTACCACTACAGTTTTCATTTAATTAGAAAACTGTAGAAAAGATTTTTTTTTTTATATGTCTTGTGTACAACGCCACAATGAAGTTTGTCCTCCAGCAGTCTTTGAAAATGTATTAAATGCCTGTTTTTTTCTGTGAATGAAAACTTTCATATCACTGCAAAAAGTCTCCAAGTTACTTCACTTCTGATTTCTGCCTCTTTTGTCAGGCATTTCTTCGAGCGCTGGTGGAGCATACAGGGGACGCTGTGCAGAGGAGGAGACTGCAGGAGCTCTGCAGTAAACAAGGCACCGCAGACTACAACCTGTATGTGAGAGACCCAAGCCTAAGTGTCCTGGAGCTTCTCGCAGCTTTCCCATCCTGCTCGCCTCCTCTCAGCCTCCTCATAGGTCAGCGTGCCTGCTGTTATCTCACTCACTCAGACCTCTTAAGGTCCATAACAATCTTGTTTTTGGGGTAAAACTGTCCTTGCTAGATGTACGACATACACTTAACTTAATCTTCATGTCACATAGCAAATAGGTGCATTGAATGTGCAACATTCATCCAGTGACTAATGAGAAAACTCAGTGACTAATATTATGGCATATTGTTAAGATGTTTTTTCTTTCAGTTTGTTTACAAATTTATTATAATACATGCATATTTAATTAAATGCAGACTTTCGTGTTGCCTGAAGCAAATGGGATCACAGTGATTGACATAAGATTGGGATTTAGACTGCACCTGCACAAAATATCAGTGGAATAAACTACTTCATTCAATTTATTTCACTTTTGAAAAGACCTCAGGTTATGTCAAGTCTGTCTATTATATTCAGGCTGGTTTGTCTGTCTGGATAATTTCTTCCAGTAGGGGTCACTGTAGCTCCAGTAAAGCTTGCTTTGAGAGCAAAGTCTTAGGGCTGATTTTTTTTCATTTAATTATACTGAATGGTCAGACAACGTATATCAGAGGGCTCCCCAAAGGATCAACACTCATTCCGCTGTCTCATTTTTAAGTACATGTTGACCAAATATGGTCTTTGTGTCACAGTTTCTGTGACTGTATTGGCAGTATTGTAGCTGCAAGTCAAGAGACATTTTCACAGTTTATTCATTATATCCCTCCCTGTTAATAATATTGATCGATTTTTGCTGCTGTCAGCCATCGATACCAACCCCAATTTGACCCTTTGAGCCAACGGTTGTAAGAAAAGTACCATTTTCTCCCAGCTCATTAAGATAGTTGGCCAGTCATTCAGTATAGATCTAATAAGCTTTGACTGAAACTTACCAGACAGTGAAATTAGTTGGCTACAGCTTTACATACAAGTTGAGTTGTCCTCTAAAACAGCTGTGTCACAGCTCTTGGCTTACCCCAGTGTCAGTTATTTTTGGTCTACTTGCCAACCACAGCACCTTTTTTTTCAGTGGTGAACTGATGCAGAAATTGGGAATCGCGACAATCGTGCCCTCGTGAAAAATGCGGTGTTGGAGGCCCTTCGGGGGCAACAGCTGTTATTTGGGGGACAGGGTGGTGTTTACTGGTGAGTCATTGAGCTTTTGCAAGGACACAAGCGAGCAGGGTCAGTTTGGATCGTAGGTTAATGGTCATCTCTGACTCAGTCTGTTGCTGCTAAAGTACAGTGCTGCAATTTTTGCTCTGTTCGTGGTTCATTACCCCGACCGAAGGGGAGGTGTTTGCTGATCAGAGTTTACGCTGTTATACACTAACTATAAATAATGAGGAGAGATGTTTTTAAGCCCAAATGTCTTTGGCCAAGTGCAGGCTGGGTGTAAAAGTAAATGCTGGGTACAAATTGAGAAAGATACCTGCTTCCCAGAGTCAGCTCTCTTGTTATATGGTCCATTGTTTCACATAGTAGGTCAGATGAAAAACTTTGGGGTCACAGCCCCTGAGAGCTGAATGCTGTCTATGAGCATCTTTTTCAATTTGCTTTACCGCAGGGCTCAAATGAAATTGTACCAGGGTGCAGTTTTTTTCTTTTTTTCTTTCTTTAGCCCGATTGTGACCTGTGGAAAAAATTAAAGCAAACTAAAGTAAAGTGCCCCCCCCCCCTCTCCAGAGAAGCTTGAAATTTAAAAATAAGGTTTCCTGGTCACAAAGAACACACTGTATATCACATATAATTCCATTTTTATTCATTTAAGATATAATAAATGCCATGGAAAACTTTTAAATGGTTTTGGAAAACCATGAGCTTGCAGGTCCTTTTCTCAGAAGTCTCTTGAAATTAGCATTTGTAGTCTATTAAAAAAAGGAAAAATCTTCCCAAGGAGAATTCCTTTTAATGCTTTAATGCTAACAACCTCCTTAATTTTCCCCTAATTCCATCTGCAGCCAAAGAAACTATCCATATATCTTAAGAAGTATAACTTTTATGTTCAACCACATTGCTATCTCATTTTTTTCCCACCAAAATTGTACTTCTGCATATAAATTGCAGCACAGAAAGACTTTTGAGATGGAATAGATTATATTGTTGTGCAGAATGATCGATGATACCCCTGAAAATGATCATTTCTGAAAACATATCGGGGACCCTGGGACTGTATTTTTTGGAACAGAGATCTTTTTTTTAAGCTGCATATTTTAAGGTGTGTCCTCAAGCCACTCACTGCAACAAAAAAAACCTTTGTGCTCAGAGGTTTTAAAAGTGATATATCCTCTGTATCTACCAGCAGTATCATCATGGTGCAGTGATGTGAGATGATGGATTGATTGTCCTCTGTTTCGGACATGTGCTGTCACTCTGTGATAGAAAGGCAGGAACTCGAGCATCGTGCAGCAGCAGAGGATTGTGTTAACGTACATGATACACCGTCTGATGGAGAGGTGTGTGTGTGTGTGTGTGTGTGTGTGTGTTTGTGTGTTTCCACTGATAGAAAGGATTGCTGGATATGTTATATGTGATAAATTTTGTCCAAAACGATTTTCCCCTCAGGGAGTTACTTACTGCCCTTATATGAGAAACAAGAATTCCATTGCATCGAAACTTAGTCCGAATTAATTGCTAAGATTTATTTACAAATGACGAAATATAGCCTAGTGATTAGAATAAAGCAAGGCCAGTGTGTAATCGTGGCTCTCCTTGTAAATTTTCCTGCCCTCCAGTCTTTAATACATTACAGGCCTCCATGTCCTAACATTTAAACTTCTTTTTCAGGATGAAAGTCCTCACTAAAGTTAAATTTTTTCCCCCATGTCTTGCCAAACATTTGGCCCAAGATACTACTACATATCAAACATCAAAAATAGACCTGCGAAGATTAGTTTATTAATCAATTAGTTCATTCATCCATCCTCTGGTGCCAGGTTCTCAAATGTAAGCGATTGCTGCTTTTCCACTCTCATATGATAGTGAACTGAATATCTTTGGGTTTTGGAGCGTTGGTAGAATAAACAAGCAATCTGGGCTTTTGGGCTGTGGGAAATCGTCATGGATATTTTTAAATATTTTCTTACATTTTATAGACAGAGTGATTAAGGAAATAATCAGCAGTTACCCATCAAAAATCATCTTCCGGTAATACCAAACCAGAAGAGAAACATCAGTTATAACATTTTATATATATATTCTTTTGAATACCATGTTTTTGTACAAAAAGTTGGATGCAGAATAACGGAAGAAAGAAAAGAAATGCAACAAGCCTAAAGTTTTAGAACCGGGCCATCGTGTTTTGCGTGTAAATAGAACAACAAAATCAAACTTGTTTTCTATATGTTTGAGGCAGCAGATGCTGTTCTTCTTTCACACTGACGTACGGTCTAACATTGAATGGTAAAGTACTCTCAACTGAGCACAAAGGTCTTTGCTTCTTAGATCAATTGTAAACAACAGAAATATCATATTTTTTCCCCATATTTTACCATCCTAAATATATGCAGATTTGGTTTAGCCCGTATGTCAGTAGCCCACTGTTCTTTACTCTCTAAAAATGTGAGAAAAGTGAGAGCCCTTGAACTTTTTTTTTTTTTTTGTCTTTTAGTATCTGAGGGAATCTGGATGAAACCGTAGTAGAAGACTGCTGTTTGGGCGAGGCCTGTGTTTTTGTTTGAAACTCACTTTTAAGTGTTTCATGCATCACCATACAAAAAATAAAAATCTTCAGCTCAAAGAGATGAAATGGATGTCAAAGTGCAGAGCTGTCTGGCTGACACCCTGAGCTGTTTAGATATCGGAGAAATCCAGAAAGAGACGAGAGAGCAGATTTAGTCCAGCTGTTTGTCTTTCTAAGCAATTTAGCAGAAAAATGTGTTATTGTAAGGCCTCAGCTGGTGCATATGGTGCAGATTTACTTTCCCAGGTTCATCTTTCACTGAGATACAAATAAAATGTAAGGGAGTACATAACTAGCACATCACACAACTCTCATTCTTTTTGCCCATGTCTAATAGTTGGTGGTGGTAATAGTGTAGCGAATGGCTAATCTTTGTGCTACAGGGTGAAAAGTTATCTAGAACTCTTCTAAGTTTTCCTGATTACTCTGACACATCCTCACAGATGCAATGCACACAGCATATTACCCAAAAGAGGGCACCTTCATGGCTGGCATTGAAATAAGGTCTGCATAAGCAATCTGTTTCCTACTGGCTCCACATCTGGACACTTGGGATTCCATAACCCTGAGTTTGTAATTTCATAAATATAGAAGTGTGTCCTAGAAACAAGACTGTAACCTGGGTGGGGGTTACTGAGGATAGATTGGTAGGTAGGATGTCTCAATGGACCAAGATGACTTTCACTTATTTTGTCTCCTCTCTGTCATGGGTGTCTGTGTAACAGTATCTTAGCAATACAGCAGGATGATTGACAGTTGTGCTTGCCTTTCAGAGCATTTGCCGAAACTGCAGCCCAGGCCTTATTCAGCAGCCAGGTAAGGTGACAGAAAAATAAGAATGCAGCTTACGTTTTGTACTGCATGAAACTGTGCACAGATGTTCTCTTATGGCATCATTTACTTGGAATAACAAATATCATATGAGTACGTATGTCAGTCTGTCTTCCTAATTTCTACTAGCTGAAAAATAAGCCTTCATTAAGAAATTGTACAAAGATAGAGTAGTTAATGGAGAAGAATTGAATTACTGGATGTGTTTCCATATAATTTACTGGCCTAATTTTGGAGTTAAAGAATCTGTGAAACTGACCACTTTTGGACATGCAACAAGTGAGGAATTACATTTACAAACTCTCCTTTTTTTATCTTTTTGTAATGGTGACTGCAACAGAAATATGACCTCCCTTCCGCTCATTTGTTTAGACCCCTAATTTATTCTCCTCAGGGGTCTCTTAAGCAGCCATCTTCTTCCAAGCGTGACTGTATTCTTAATAATGAAGAAGATGCAATATTTCTGAAAATCATGCAGCGTTTATTGCAAATACATCAGAAAATCTAGACATTGTTTGGCTTAAATGGCAACGTGATTGCCAAATAGAAACTAACAAAGGGGACTGTGTCTCAAAGTTCATAAATATTCATAATATTTACAAGATGTTGTATCGGAGGTATTATACACAAAAAGAAGATGCATAAGACTAAGACTGTGAAATGTAATTTTTTTGTGGTGTTGCAAGAAGAAAAGAGGTAGTTCTGTGTATATATATATTTTACTGTAACCCTATCACTCATTTTTTAAATCTGTGGCTATTTTATCCCTGTATCTGCATCTTGATATATTGCTAAATCCTCAACTTTGTTTATTAGGTACTACTAGACAAGATAGTCGAGTTCGCATAATATAATATATATTGATGCTGCACTATTGGCAGCTAGGAAATGCATTGCTTTCTGCTGCAGATCTGCTATTTTGCCAACTCTTTCACAGTGGTGAATAGAGCTTTCAAATAAGCTGACATTCGATAGGGTTTCTTATAACATCAAAGGGAAGCTCCATGAATAATATAAATTTTTCATTTTCAAATGAACTTTCATTTAGGGAGACATTCAGAAACTATTTTAAATAGAAACAAAACATTTGTGGATGTAATTCACTTATAAGCTCTGTAATGGGTGAAAAACATGCACAAATGAATGAACTGTAAATATTGTGTATCTTTTAGCAAGTTGTACTTAGTTTAAATAGGTCCAAGTGCTCCTTCTTTTTGCCTCACTTAGCCAGTCATTGATTTGCTCTTCCTGTTAAGCTAGTACCCATTAGGTCTGCTTTAAAGCTCATGTGGAACAGCAACATCTAACGCAATGTCAAAACTTATCCGCTCCTCTCATTAGTTCCTCACTTAGCTGCTTGTGTGTGTGTGTGTGTGTGTGTGTGTGTGTCTGTTTTTGCAGAGAGATAGTGAACGAACAGGAGAGATGGTGGCTATAGTTTATCAGATGGTGCAGAGACATTAGAGGCCTGCATTATTGATGCTGTGGTCAATAGAGGTCTCTAGTGGCCCACAGGAACTGGAGAGTGAAGGATGAGAAAGCGAGAGTTCTTCAGCCGGCAGTGTAGACTGGAATGGAGAGGAGGGAGACACAGTTTTATTGAAGCAAGACAGACAGGAAGTTATTTTTTGCTCACTCCTAGCTGTATTTTTATTTTATTTTTTCTATAATAAATGTCATTCTGCAGATCAGTTATTCCCAACCAGGGTAACCTTTATCCTAGGTTGTACTACCTGCTATACTTACCAGGGGTTATGTGGAAAGGTTGTGAAGTATCTCAACTAATTTGGAGAAAAAAAAAAA